TGCATGCTAAAAATTGGTCATGAACTATTTGACGAGTTTCAGAACAAGGACAAAATATTACAGAAAATTCAAGACATACCATTATAAACAAAAACAGTCCATGGCAGAATTGTAAAAATGGCCCATCAAATCAACAAGGAAAAAATGAAGATTTTGAGTACAGCTTTGCTTTGCTTTGGACAAGACAACTGACATGTGACATTAATCAGTTGTGTATTCTGGGATGATTTATTTGTGGAAATGCTATGCATGAAGAAATGACTGAGATTACCGATGGGGAAAAAATGGAACAAGGGGCAACCTGTGGTGAACTTTTTAAACAAGAAAAATACAGTTGGATAATCTTGTATCTGTGTGTATGGACAGGACACCTAGCATGACTGGCAAATATGGGGGATTCCTTACTCTTGTCGGAACAGCTGAACTGCTGCTTTTGAACTTTCATTGCATTGTGCATCAGGAGGCACTTTGTGCACAATCTTGTGGAACCGAATTAGGAAATCTAAGATGAAAAGTCCCAGTCTTTTTATTCTCTTTATATGGGACCGGTTCCAAACCCTAATCATTTTGGTTGCCCTTTTCGGAACCTTTTCCAATACCAATATACCTTTTTTGAGATGAGGTGACCACATCCGTAGACAGTATTCAAGATGTGGGCATACCATGGTTTTGTGTTAGATGTTCTCTGTCTGATTCTCTATCCCTTTAAGAGCCTTTGGTAACAGGTCTTGTAAAAGGCTTTCTAGAAATCCAAGTACGCTGTATCTACTGGATTCCCCCTTGTCCACATATTTGTTGATCCCCTCAAAGAATTCTAGTAAGGCAAGATTTCCTTTTACAGAAACCATGTTGACTTCCCCCAACAAATTATGTTCATCTATGTGTTTGACAATTGTATTCTTTACTATAGTTTCAAGTAATTCGTCCAGTAATGATGATAGACTTACCAGTATGTAATTGCCAGGTTTACCTCTAAAGCCCTTTTTAAATATTGGTGTCACATTAGCTGTCTTCCAGGCATTAGGTACAGAAGATGATCTAAAGGATACATTACAAACCACAGTCAGTAGTTCCTCAAGTTCAAATTTGAGCTCTTTCAGAACACTTGGTTGAAAGCAATCTGGTCCTGGTGACTTGTTACTGTTAAGTTTATCAGTTTTGTTCCAAAACTTCCTCTGACACCTCAGTCTGGGACAATTCCTCAGATTTGTCACCTAAAAAGAATGGCTCAGGTTTGGGAATCTCCCTGACATCCTCAAGCATGAAGACTGAAGCAAAGAATTCATTTAGTTTCTCCGCAATGTCCTTATCTTTGCGTTGGAGCTGGGTTTGTTTCCGAACTGCTGATGGCATTCAAGTCTCATTTTGTTGACTTTTGCAATAGTGCTTTTTTAAGCTTATGATTTGTCCACATAACATGTTCAATGGAGAATTGGATTTGACAGTATCTCAGTCAGTGATTTGGAAATGGGAATAGGAGATTTCAAGGAGTCAGATATCGGGGTGGAAAAATTCATCAAGATGAATTCTGATTTACAATGCCTTGCTCGACAAAGTGCAGAATTGACAAAGCTGCAGAAAAGGTCTGACACAAAGAAATTGGAGCACAATGATTCTGCAGTTTTGGAAAGAATTTCCTGTCTCATACAACACCATGCAAAATGTCAGTTTGGCCTTATTTTCAATGTTTGGCTGCACCTATATGTGTGAGCAGGCTTTCTCTCATTTGAAATCACATCCAAGGTAATTTGTGCTCAAGATTGACAAGATAGCCTGAATGTGTGTATGAAGCAGAATTTGACCAATTATGATGTAGATTTCTAAGACATGAGCAAAAAAGATGCAGTAGCAAAAGTCCTATTAAATAAAGTCCTTGAGGACAAGGTTTCATTTATACTCTTATTAATCATCATGTCAATTATTAGTATATTTATTATACTAAATATTTAGCATCTTGTATAGTTGTATATTTTCAGTGATGCAAATGGACATTCTTATACTGGCTTTGTTGGCCACTTGTTCTGAATTTTGATGTAGTTTGGCTCTTTGCCGACCCCTGCTATAGGGTCTTGCCATCAACTACATTAGGGACCATTTAGCTGCCATTTTAGCCTGTCGCTTTCACATTCACAATTGTGTGTCCTTTCATCCCAGTATTAAAAATTTCTGAAAGAAATTGTTCACATTCAATTCATTAGCCTTTCCTGTCCTAGAGACTTAAAAATCATTCTTTTGGAACATCCCCACTGCATTTAACTCTTATCCAAGTGCTTTTTTTTTTTTTTACCATCTCTCACTCAAAATCCTCTTCCTAATGGCTGTTCTCTCAACCAGGAGAGTTAGTGAGATTTGGGTATTGATGGCTAATCACCTTCATGCACTATTACACAGGGATAAGGCAGTACTCAGAACCCACCCTAAGGGTACGTCTAGACTACATGCCTCTGTCGCCAGAGGCATGTAGATTAGGCTACCCGACAAAGTAAAATGAAGCGGCGATTTAAATAATCGCCGCTTCATTTAAATTTACATGGCTGCCGCGCTGAGCCGACAAACTGCTGATCAGCTGTTTGTCGGCTCAAAGCGGCAGCCATGTACATTTAAATGAAGCGGCGATTATTTAAATCGCCGCTTCATTTTACTCTGTCGGGTAGCCTAATCTACATGCCTCTGGCGACAGAGGCATGTAGTCTAGACGTACCCTAAGTTCCCCAGCAAGATGGTGTCCTATTTGTCACTTAAACTACACCATCAAGCTATCTTCTTTGCTAAGCATCACCCATACCTGCTAGAAACCAAGCTTCATACTTCAGATAACGAAGAATAATTCTGAAGACATTTTAAACAGGATAATGCCATTCAGGAAATAATTGTTTATTGTTCAAAAGCTTCAGAGGATAGCAGAGTTTGTTTAAGTTTTTCCAGTTTCAGACTAATAGTCTAGCAGCACCTTAAAGACTAACACCAACGTGTAGATAGTATCGTGAGCTTTCGTGGGCACTCATAATGGATCTCAGAGTCACCATGTTTCAGGCCAATTCCACAAGCCAAATACACTGGGAAGGGTTGGAACTTAATTTAACTTACAAGTTTGATTCCTATTAGAGAGGAATGAATAAAGATATTGGCTGGCTTGCACACTACCTTCCACTTCCTAGTGACTTAACCAGCCAACCAATGTGTACTTATAGAGGTGCAAATTATTCTCGTCAGCCTCTTGTAACGTGAATAATCTAATCCATTATTTTTCTCTCTTCCTCCCCCTCCTCTTTTATTCTTGGATCTAGACTTTTAATACTCCATCTGAAGAAGTGGGCTGTGCCCACGAAAACTCATGATACCATCTACATGTTTTGTTAGCCTTTAAGGTGCTGCTAGACCAGGGCTACTCAACTTTGGAAGCCCTGTGGGCCACAATGATACTCTCAGCATGTGTCAAGGGCCACAACTTAAGTGTGGTTGCATATACATGCAAGAATATATGTAAATAGCTTCTTGCACACTGATGGGCATGAATACAAATCACTTCCCACAGTGCCCTTGTGCTCCCGGCACTACCTCCATGGGGGCTAGAAATGCCGACACCCTGTACCCATCTGTTCTGGCCAACCTGTCTGCTTGCGTCTTTCAGCGCTCACCCCGACTGGAATATGCCTCACTGTTGGGGAGCCTGTTCCCAGTGGAGGCTATGTTCAGAGGATCTCGCCCACGAGCCGTGTGTTGAGTCCCGCATAAACCCAAACCACACTGTGGGCCGAATGTTAAGTAGCTCTGTGCTAGACTATTAGTTGGTTTTTATGTTTTTTGTATTAGGAAAGCTGTGGAATGTAAAATCATTTCTTTCCAGAGATTATACAAGTGGATCAGTGTGTTACTAGTTAGCAAATATACACCTTCCTTCAAGCCTCAAAGACTTTGCAACAGCAGCCCTGGAAACCTCTTCAGCATACCTAAGAGATTACTGTTACAGGAATCTTATAGGAAGCTACCAATAGCTCAGTAACATACCTGTACTAAATGTTATACCCTGGATTTAGAGAATAGATCGTATTCCAAATTAGTAGACCAATTCTGTAATCCTTACTTGTCTAACTGTACTAAAACTTGATGGCTAGTTATAAGGTAGGGATCTACATATATAGACTCTATCTTATTTTATAGTAACTGGTTCTTTGAAATATTTTGTTGGTGTGGCATCTGCAAACCTTCACTCTATCCCTGTTCCTTTGGAATCCATCTTTACTGGGATTCTGAATTCGCAAGAATACTGAAATGGTCAGGGTAGCTTTTCTCTATATGCCCAAGAAAGATGGGGCAAGAGTGTAAGTGAAGTACAGGTATGGCCTATGTGGACACATGCAGCATGTAAGTGGGAATCACACAAATGAAATATTTGAATTGCAGCAAATGTGATTCAGAATAACCATTTTGTATGTCACTCTCAGGGAACCTATTTAGATAAGTTATTCTTCATGCTTTTGGTCTTCCTCTTCCCATCTACCTATGCCAAGAAATAAAGTACCTAGGGATGTTAAAATTTGTTTAGTTTGGTAAACATGTACCCACTAAAATTTTATGCGGCGGGTGGGGACGGTGCACATGGGGAGCCTGCAGCTGTGCTGGAGGAGGGGCAAGTTGCTCTGAGAGAGCTGGAATGCACAAGGAGCCAGCTTAAAAGTGGATACTGCTTAGATCCACTTAGTGTGCTAAAACACACATATCTCGAAAAAATACCAATAGGGCTGATAAGCAAGGCATATATGTATGACAAATCCAGAGGTATTTAAATTTCTTTGTGTTAAAATAAGTTTAGCGAAACCTTTACTATGCCTAAAACAAATCTGTTACTTGGAAAGCATAACTTCGCAAAAGTGTACAATTTTATGAGCTTGTTACAGCATGACAACACACAAATGTTTAGCAAGAGGTTAATCTCTGGTGTGGGTTTTTTTTTTTTTTTTTTTTTTTTTTTTTTTTTTTTTTTTTTTTGCTGTAGGGGGATGCCCGAAGTCTTCTAGTCTCTGAAAATGTAAGCATTGGCCAAAAATTGGACTTCTCAGATATGATGGTACAACAGAAATTGGATGAAATAAAGGACCAAATCAAACGTGAAATAAGGAAGGAGCTTAAAATCAAGGAGGGAGCAGAGAACCTCAGAAAGGTCACAACGGATAAAAAAAACTTGGCTTACGTGGACAACATTTTGAAAAAATCAAACAAGAAATTAGAAGAATTGCATCATAAATTACAGGAATTAAATGCACACATTGTTGTAACAGATCCAGAAGATGTTACAGGTATATTACTGTAAAAACTATTAATTTTTTTTCTCCTAGCTTAGATATTTAGTACCTTTTTAATGTTGATTTACTTTAAATAAAATCCTCCCATTACAAAAAATTATTATTGTAACTGAGTTACCAATTGCTTTTAAAAAACTTACCAACATGCCTTCATATTTTCCTTAAATTATTATTGGAATAGTTTTAGATTCCTTAAGTAAGTTCTAAATGTAGTCTTGCAGATTACTGGTAGTTCCGAGCACTTATTTGTGGTCAGAAGACCACTGGTTAGGCATGTTGTGCTTGCAATTACTTTCAGTTACTAAAATACTTAAGACTGTCAATCTCACACACAAAAATCCTCTTATTGCTTTTCCATGTAGTTTCCAGAAGGGATGTGTGATTGCAGATGGGTGAGCAGGAGGTACATGAGGAGTGTTTGTGATTTACACTGAAAATGTTTATGAACCCCTTGCCTCAACAGTCTGAAACTAAAATAGTAGCTCTTCTTTTATCAAAAAGTAGGCTTTTGCCATGCTATTCTTTGGCTAACTTGTAGTAAAAATGTCTGTATAGCAAAATCAATTGAATAACTCTTAGGGATTTCCATATGTAGAGGCTCCCATTAACTGATGATCTTTCAAACTATATTATACTACAGGTTGCACCTCTAAAATCCAGGTTTCTCTGGTCTGGCAACATCCATGGTCTGGCATGACCATGGATGTTCCATGATCAGAGAATCCCGACACTCTGCAGGAATCTGGGGGCCTGCACAAGGTTTAGTTGGGCTGTGAGGAGGGAACAAGGAGCATGGCACATCTGGGCTGCGAAGCTTGGGGGCAGGGAGCTGCCAGGAGCCTCCATATGGCTCAGATGGGCTGGGGAGGGGCCGTGAGCTGGTGACCAGCTCAGCTGGGCTGCGGGGGGTGAGCCAGGGAGCCAGTGGCTGCAGGGCTGCAATGACCTCCCCTGTCTGGAAAAATCCCTCATCTGGGACCAGTCGGGTCTTGAGGATGCCAGACAAGGGAGGTCCAACCTGTATAACTTGTATTTTCTGTGAACGTGCAGGGAGTTTGTATTAATTTTGAAAAATACCAGAATTGGCTTTTTCAAATGGAATGTTAGCAAAGTAAACAGTCAAACAAATGTTTTTTTTTCAGTGTTGTGAAATGGCAGGCATAAGGACAGTCTGGTGATTTGACATTAAAATGTTGCTAACATGAGTCTCTATAAATATACTTTCAACCCTGCGCTGATACATATTTTATATCCTTATCCACAAAAAGATACCCACGGATATCCATGAGTTAGGACTCTAAATATATACTTGCCATTGAGAGTGTCTGTTGAGTGACTGTCGCTCTTGAAAAGTTTGGGCAGTGGTAAAAAAGAACATATGAATCTTGTTTTAAAGTAAAGGATGCAGTAAGCATTTTGAAATATATAGCAGTGTTTCCTGTAAGCTGTGTGCTTTTTGCAACTCAGGAGAGATTCAGATGCTGTCCAGCTGATTAGTGGAGGACTCAGTTAGGTTTTTTGTTTCTACTGGTAGTGCACATTCACACATACCTCAGTGTGCAATATAACATTTATTCCACCCATGGATAGAAAAATCTGCTCATGGATGGACAAGAGTAGAAGGAATATTGCTGGCAGGTGATTTAATATCTTATAATATGCAGCCAAAGTGGCGAGTTACCCTTGTTAGACTTGCACAGAGTTCAGTGCATTTTATCATTGGCCTTCTTGCAAATTACACTCTCAAGGCTGGAGGAAAACTACTTTGGAACGTGTGAGGCAGAGAGGCTGCTTCAAGGGAGGGATGTTAAATTTAGGTTAGTTAATTGTAATCAAATAGTCGATGGTATTTCTATCAACTATTTTAGGGGTGGCCAACCAGTTAGAGACTAAGAGCCAAAATAGCTGTGGGTAGAGTGCAAAGAGCCATGTATTATAGTTATATAAAAAGATATAGATTATATAGATATGGATACATATAGTACACAAAATGTAGTGATAAAAATAACATTAACATTTTGTACAAAAACTAATAAAAAGTCTCTAGTCACTTAAAAATTCATGGCCAGTCCATAGATCTTCAGAGAACTTGACAAGGAACAAACATCAAATTAAAAAAAAAAAACTTTAAAAATATAGTAATATTCTCACACTAAAAATAAGCACCCCCCACCATGTATTTAAATTTTAAACTACTGCCCTATTATTTCCTGTGTTTCTTTTAAAAATTAAACTGAACTGAGAAGTAAACTAGCACAATTTGAAGTACCTGTTTCACTCTAGCTTGTTGATCTTTGGTATGGTTTCCTCAATTTTTTTACTTATGAAGAATAAGTAACTTTTTTTTTTTTATAGTTCTAAACATTCAGGTCTGTCCCAGGCTGCAAATATGAGACATTAAAAACAATAAGGGAGAGACTCATGTCTCAGAATAATTGCTTCAGCCTGGCAAACAGTAGCCTTTGAATTTTCTTTAAAGAAACTCAGTGTAAATCCCTTGTACATTCCAGTGAATCAGCCTTTGGAATGTACAAAAGCCCAGGTGAAGCTCTTGTGCATTTCAAAAGCAGACTCGCAACAGAAGTTGCACAAGTGGAGACTGCTTCAGTTTCTGCTCGTGCTGTTTCCTGCAGTGCCTCTATCTCCCTTGCCCCTGGCGGAGAAGTTGCTGGGGGTGGGAACTGGCTTTTAAGGCAGTTTTAAGATGGCTCCCCTCCATCCCTAGCTCCTGCTCTCCCCTCTTGCTGCCTCTCTCTGATAGAGGCAGCAAGCTGCGGGGGAGGGGACTAGTCACATCACTAGCCAACTATCCGGTAAGCTTATGCTTATCAGACAGTCAAGTTGTCGCTTACATCCCTACTTCAGGGTGGTTTTCAGTAGGCTTCCAAGTGAAATGGAAATGTGTACATTTTTATGAATGTCTTCTAGATATGAGATATATATTCTGAAAACTTTGTATAACTTTTCTCATGAGTCTAAGACTTGCAGTAATTGAGTAACAGAGCATTGCAAAGAACTAAAGTGGCCAACGATGTGAAGAAATAGGAGACATGTAAGTTGCAGGTATTTATAAAGCTGAACAGGCATAAATGTTAGTGTTTTTATTTAGAGTAACTTCAGAATTGAGTGGAGATATTTGTCACATCCCATGTTCTCTCTGAAATGAAACACTTTAAAAGGGGTCATGTTTTTACGATTTCCAGTGCTATTGTACTACATACAGTAATTCTTCCTGGAGACAATTGCATATAAGATTGGGGTCTCATTTGCTGTAAGCTGTATACAACTCAGCAATTGGTACTTGGAATGTGCACTGTTAGGCTGTGTCTAGACTACATGCCTCTGTCGGCAGAGGCATGTAGATTAGGCACATAGGCAAAGGCAAATGAAGCCGCGATTTAAATGATCGCGGCTTCATTTACATTTACATGGCTGCCGCGCTGAGCCGACAGCTGATCAGCTGTTTGTCGGCTCGCGCACTAGTCTGGATGTTCCCCCTGTCGCCATCAAAGCCCTTTGTCTGCAGCCCCGGTAAACCTCATTCCACGAGGATATTTAAATCACGGCTTCATTTCCCTTTGCCTACAAGTAGTCTAGACGTACCCTTAATGATTTACATTTTTAAAATCAAGGTTTTGATAGCGCCCCCTTTAAATAGTATGTTTTGAATTCAAAAGATCCCCCTTTTTTAAAATTTTTCTGCTTCTCTGCAGCTGTCCAAGAAGAGACGGGGAAGTGTTTGTCGTGTTCCAGAGCAACAATATGAAACCAAGAGGGACAAGTCCCTCCTCACTCCATTTTATTCCCCTTTGTTCCTCTCTACATTTACCTGCTTCCTAGCTTTTTGGTTTTAATTTCAGCTTCTCTAGAACTAAGTTAACTTTCAGTTAGTAGTAAATAACTTCCATAGGGCCTGGGGAAGACTGCATACAGCTCTGCCTCAAAGTTCACTGTGATGTTTACTATTATATGATCCCGGAAGTGCAACTGTCCATAAAAAATAAAAAGTTTCTCATGAGCTGAGTGATAAGAACCAAGGGAGGAAGTCTGACTCTTCCTTTATCCCTTCCTGAGAAGGCCAGAGCTATCCATCAGCGACTTCCCCATCCCTCTTGCTAACAACTGGCAGATCCCAAACCCTTTTGACCCACTTTATCTTCCATATGGGAGCTTTAAAGTAGAAGGCAAAGAAGATGACCATGAGCAGAGGGGAAACTGTCGTCAGGTTCCTGCTCTGAACATTCTTGCAACAAACTGTCAACCACAAGAATAAGAAGTGTCTGCTTCTACTTGCTTTTACTTGATATTTTATCTCAGTATTAAATAGTCAGGGCTATTTTTGAATTCTTTCTCATGAAGTTGATCAGTGAGTTTCAGTTTAGTTTGAAGGAAATTAATTGGAAATTTTAAATATGAATAAAATATTCTAACACTCATTTACATATAACTTTCTAAGGAGAAAGTCAGAATGGTTTCTCTGATAGTGCTTCTTTAAATTGTTTCTGCTTTAAAAGAAATAAACAGAATAGATGATATGATGGACATAATTTAGTCGGCTTTTCTGAAAGCTTTGGATAGGGACCCAGTTAGCCACAGGTTAAAGGACTGGGGATTAAAAACTGGTTAAGCAATAGGAAATAATCAGGTGAACACTGATTCTCAGAATGGAGAGAGGTCAATAGTTTGTACTACAGGAGATGGAATTTTGTAGTCATTAACGTGCTTTTAATCTAGAAGAAGTAGATGGCAAGTCATGGAACTTATTGATGACCGTTTAACTTGGTAAAAAGTGCAGCAAATTCTGTTAAAAAGAATAGGGATTTTTTTTTCAAAAAGTAACACTCCCAAACAAGAATATATCATTCACCTTTCCCAAATTGTAATTTTTTCAGTAGTCGACAGCTCAGTTAATTATGCATATACCCTTGATTTCATTACTTCTCTGGAATCAGCAAACACTTAGCACAGTATATACATATTGTAAAGAAGAATTTATCAGTTGCTTTATCATGCTGTAAATTGCATCAGTTGTGTGTCTAATGCTTGAAAGTAATTAGTATTAGATGTAATGTATTTAGTATGTCTGTAGACCATATGAATAATTTTTGAATATGGTCATTCAGGCTTCTCTTTCTGACTTAGAGTAGTATTGGTGGATTTGGGAAGGCTTAATGGTAAACTATACTTTACACTTTAAAGATTAAACATTTTAGAAAAGACCAGGTCTCTGGGGAGGAAAGATTAAAAAAAAAAAAATAGGATACCTTTTACCATGCCAGTCATATTAGCCCATGTGCAAGAATCACTAGGCTTTCACTGGCTTTTTCATAGTAAAAGCATATTTGCAATATTGTTGTGTAATTTCTTTGCACAGTTTTAATATTTAAATACAAAGCTTTCTCTTTATTAAATATTTAAAGTATATTAGAAAAAGCTTTATTGGTTTGTTATGAATATTACATCTTACATTTAATTCACAGAGTGTCCCAGAACACCAGATACTCCAAACAGTGACCCTCGTTTTTCTACTAACAACAGATTGATGGTCTTAAAAAAGCAATTGGATATAGAGCTGAAGGTAAAGCAAGGAGCAGAGAATATGATACAAATGTATTCAAATGGCTCTTCAAAGGTAAGGCTTCGGAATACTTAAAGAAAAATGAACTACCGAAAATAAGAAAATGATGTAGTTTGAACATATGAATAATGTGCTGTTCTTAATTTCTATGTTAACGTGTAGTTTCTTGAAATAAAGTGAAACAATTACTGTTATACTCTTCACCTCCAAAAGTATGGTTTCATCCCATGAAAGATGCTCCCTAAGAGTATGTCTACACTACAGGGAAGATCAAAGCTGCCACTGTCGATCTTCCAGGGTTCAAATTAGCTTGTCTAGTGAATACACGCTAATCCGAACTGAGAGGAGCACTGCAGTTGATGCCAATAGTCCTGCTTCCACAAGGAGTAAGTGTTCTTCCCTTGACTTCCTGCAGTGTTGACAGCGCCAAAAGTTGAGTTAAGGTACTTTGACTTCAGCTGTGCAATTAATGTAGCTGAAGTTGCATATCTTAATTCAACCTTATCCCATAGTGTAGACCTACCCTAAGAAAAGCTTAGTTTTCATTGGTTTTATCCCCATGTGTATAACCTACATAATAAATCCAGTTTATGAAATCTATCGCCTATTAAGATTTGATTATGCATTATTCACTTTGAAAAAACAGAATGCTGTGCAGTGCTCTGCATGTTGTGACATGTAGTGCTTTATGATGCTTATTCTGGGTATTATGGCTTTTATGAGGGGAAATCGTGTCTTATCAGTTTACTAGAATAGCTTGAGGTGGTCAGCAAGCATGTGAACAGGGATGATAGAGTATACTTGGACTTTCAAAAAGTCTTTTGACAGGGTCCCTCATCAAAGGCTCATAAGCAAAGTAGGAGATCCTAAGAAAAGAAGATCCTTTGTGGATCAAGAACTGATTAAAATGTTGGAAACTAAGTAGGAATAAATGGTTAGCTTTCACAACGGAGAGAAATAAATAGCAGGGTTTCCTACGGATCTATACTGGAATCTGTTCTGTTTAACATATTTATAAATTCTTTGGAGGATGAATGGTGTGGTAGCAAAATTTGCAGAGGATACAAAATTATTCAAGATGAGTTGAGTCCAAAACTGACTGTGAAGAGTCAGAGGTATCTCACCAAATTCAGTGACTGGGTAACAAAATGATACATGAAATTCAGTGTTGATAAATTCAAAGTAATGCACATTGGAAAACATAATCCCAACTATACGTATACAATTATGAGGTCTAAATGAGCTGTTACCAAAAGAGGGCTTGAAATCATTGTGGATAATTATCTGAAAATATCTGCTCAATGAGCAACAGCAGTTTAAAAAAAAAAACATTGTAGAGTTTGGAAAGGAGTAGATAATAATGAAACAGAAAATATCAAAATGCTTCTAACTTACTTCATGGAATACCCATAAATTGAATAGAACCTGAAGTTCTGGTTGCCTCATCTCAGAAAAAGATATATTGGAATTGGAAAAAGTACAGAGAGAGGCAACAAAAATGATTAGTGGTTTGAAACCATATGAGGAGAAATTAAAAACTTGGGGAAGAATTTGATAGTTGCCTATAAAATCATGAACAGTATCAAGCAAGTAAATAGGAAAGTATTATTTAGCCCAGGCGTCAGCAAACTTTCAGAAGTGGCGTGTCGAGATTTAACTTATTCACCTGTATGTATGGGACCGAGTGCTGGTGATACTTTTTAAAGTCAGTATAGTACTACTTACAGCAGCTTCATTTATAAATAAAGATGCAGATCATACCATTTAGCGTGACCCTAAGCCCCCATCCCCAACAGGTTGCCAAGCTGCCTCTGCCCCACTACTACGGCTCCATTAGGCTTACTCATCCAAAATGTAGTAATGTAGCCTGTCATAGATATTTCCATCCGGTCTTCTGACGGCAAGCACTTTTAGGCTAAGTAAGGTTCTTTGACTATCCAAGTTAAGATTTTGGACATTAATGCATTATCAGCCAATTGGATTTCTTGGATTATGATAGTGCCTCCAAGCTTGCTGTTATGTCAAAATGTTTGCATCCATTATCTTAAATGACTTAATAAAAACGAACTATAATTTTAACCACTTTTGTGTTTAAAAATGCATTTTCATTCAGTTAAATTCATGAAGTTTCTTTACAGTTGAAATAATTTTTTTAAAATCATGTAAGGAAAATGTTCTTTGTTTTAAATTGAAGGGTTTTTTTTCCCCCAAAACTTTTTTTTCATTTTGGGTTGAGGTTTGGGGTTTTCTCTCTTTTCCTTTCCTGTTCAGTAGAATAGAGATTGGAGACAGAGAAGTGGGTGAAATTTAAAAAAAAATATATTGATGAATGGTGTTTGTTTTTCAACAAGCAGAATAAAACTAGGATTTTGCTTGTGTTTTGAAATTCATCATCTATTTCTTCATGGAAATTTTGAATTTTTGATAAGCTATAAAAAGTAGTATTAGACTTCAGAAGCAGCATTAATGCCAGATCTCTAAAAGCTTCTGCTCATCAGAAATCATGCTCAGTTGAGCAGCTTGGGAGGATTGGTGGACTGATTAAAAAAAAAGGGAAA